TATATATAATATATATATATAATATATAATTATATATAATTATATTAATTTATAATATTTAAAATAATTATTCGGAATAAAGATTTTTGCTGATTTTTATGATTTGAATAATTTTATTATAGAAATAATATTTTGAACAATTTTTTTCTTTATATGTTGCCTCCATTCGGTCTTAATTTTTCAAGATTTGTAAAAAAAATTGCTATTATATTGCACACAATTTCTCTTATACATATATATCTACGGCTATATGCATATACACTATTTTTTATTAATGTAAACAATGTAATATAACAAATAACTAAAAGACAAATGTAACTATAAGACAAATGTAATTAAAACAACTGAAACTCAAAAATTTACTTACTCATGAATTATAATAAGATTAAAATCCAATGCTGAATTTGGGTTCACAAAATAGAAAAATAAAATATAAAATAATTTTTAAATGATCGAAATTACAATAATCAAAATTATAATAAATATCACTTTTTTGGTATCTATCGTTATAATTTCGATCATCCAAGAGTTGTTTTATATTTTATTTTTGCATTCCATAAATCCAAAGAATCTATAAAATATCTAAGTTTATTTTGAATTTGAGATATTTTAAACCCATCATAATCCATAAAGAAATAATTTTTTAATCGATCTATTTGTTATATATTTTGAATATTATAATATTTTATTTTATTTTTTATTATTAATGCTATAATATTTATAGGAATAAAAATAATAAATTGTGAAAAATCATAGGCTTATATCTATGTAATATATAAGAAATATATAGGATATATAGGAATAAATTCTATGAAATAACTTTTTTTTCGCAAATATTTCAAAAATTAAGTTCGAATGACAATAATATGTAAAGAAAAAAAATTATTCAAAATTTTATGTTATCCTATTCCAAATAATTATCAATATATTATATATTTTATTAAAATATTAGCTACATTAACTAATTTTATATATGAAATATATAATTATAAATGAAAATTAATATAAAATATTAAATATGAAATATTAAATCCAAAACTTTGGATAATTCACACTTTAAAAGCTTATAAAGAATAATCCTTTAAAATTTTTATAAATATTATTCGATATTAGAAATATCATAATCTCTCATATATATATGTATCTCATAATAACAGAACTTTTCAACTAAGTTCTTAGGAAAATAGATTGCAAATATCAATATATTTACTAGATATTAAAATAAAATATATATATTATTAATGATGTTATAAAATAGCATGCAGAAATTGCAGGATCTTTTTCACTTCGAAAAAAAATGAATAATACAATATCAATAAACATATGGAAAATCTATTATCTATCTAAATCTAAATCTATAAGTTATAAAATACTGTTCCCAAGTATTATTTATTAGCTTAAATGATGCTGATAGATTTCATTTAATCAAAAATTTTTTTTTTATATCAATAATTTTGAAATTCTATATTAACTTTCATAAGAAAGATTTTTGAATAGACGCAGTAAAAAATATATCACAAACAAAACACAGAAAATAAATCTAAAATTTTACGGAATTTTTTATTTCATATTTTAAAATATTGATTGTCTAAAAGATTAGCGTTAAATATACTATGATTTAAAATAGCAAATACAAATAAAAATATATTTAATATAATCATATTATAGAAAATTAGGAAAAAAAAAAACGGAAAGAAAAATATAAACACAGATGTATACTTTTTTGCAAAAGAAGCAACTTGTTCAAGATTGAGAAATTGTTTCTTGTCGTTTTCTTTCTTTCCAAGTCGATATATTAATTTGGTAATATTAATATATCTTATTATCAATATCTAATTTCTAAAAAATTGGATTTTATTTTTTATATAGAAAAATAATTTTTTTAATTTTGAATTTTTTAATCTAATTAAAGAAATAAATTTTTTTAAATTCTTTATTATAATATATACAAGTATAATTTCTGAATTTTTTAAAAATTATATGTAAAAGATAAATAGATTTAATAAGTATAAAAATTTTTTAATAATTTTATTTAATTATAAAATATAAAACATGCTATATAAATAATTCTAGCAAAGAAAATATATAATATAATATATACTTATATAATATATACTTATACTANATTATCTGTACAAGAAAATATAAATTAGTTCCAGTATTTTCAAATACGTATATATATTTAAATATATATATATATTAAATATATATATATATATATATACTATTCTCAGAAGTAGCAAATTCGAAATCATAGCATTCATAGATCTTGGTGAATAAATCATCATAATAATTGAAATAAAAATTATTTAATTTTTTCATAAAAAATTAATAAATTTATTACCTTTCTTAAAAAACATTAATTTTATTCTTCAGATTTAAGTATCTACAAAAAACAAAATACAAATTATATTAATTATATTTCTATATTGTATTTTTTTATTTTTTTAGCAACAAATTTAAAAAAAAATCAGTTAGCAAATACTATAACTAATCATAGAGCATTCATAAATCTTGGTGATTTATTAATTTCATTATCAATATATTAATAATAAATAAAATATTAATAAAATATTAATATTAGAATACTTACACTTTAACATTCTTTTTAACTTTAACATTTAACTTTTGTAACATTCTTCTCAGAAATGATTGTCATATGAACCTGAAATTTTATTTTTTTTAAGAACAATTATATTCTAATCTATATAATATATATATATATATTCATTTAACAAATTCAGTTAGCAAATACTAGATTAATCATAGCATTCATTGATCTTGGTGGTTTATAATTTCATCATTATTATATATAATAAATAATATATAATAAATAAATAAAATATTAATACTTAATATACTTACATTTTATTGTAATATTCTTCTTTTCATATTCAAACAATTAGTACATGAACCTGAAATTTTTTTTTTAATAATTATATTTCAATATTAAATATAAAATAAAATGAATAAAATATTTTTATTGCTCAGTTAGCAAATACTATTAATTAATCATAGCATTCATAGATCTTGGTGGTTTATAATTTCATCATCAATATATTAATAATAAATAAGGTAAATATTAATATTAAAATACTTACACTTTATTGTAACATTCTTTTCAGAAGTGATTGTTATATGAAGTTGAAATTTTATTTTTCTTTAATTATATTCTAAAATAATATATATATATATTCATTTAATGAATTCAGTTAGCAAATTCTAGATTAATCATAATATTCATTGATCTTAGTGGTTTATTATTTCAACATTAATAGATATATAATAAATAATATATATATAATAATTTATAATAAATAAATAAAATATTAATATTTAATATATTTACATTTTATTATATTTTTCTTTACATTAATATTCAAACAATTGAATCTGAAATTTTTTTTTTAAATTATATTTCAATTTAAATAAAATAATATTTTTATTTTTATAGATTTCAGTTAACAAATATTATTAATTAATCATAGTACTCATAGATCTTAATGGTTTATAATTTCATCAAT